GAGCTACAATATGGCCTCCTTCAGAATAACATCGTATAAATTGGCATTTTGTCAACTCCGTCAGAGTTTTTAACGATGTGACTCTTTCAGTGATTGTGTTGACAAATCTCACTTAAATGTGCAGTTAATTCATTTTAATGTATTTTAAATGGCATTACTTCTCACATTTCAAGTATTTCTTTTAACTCACTAGTTTGTCACCTTCAGTTCTGCGTCAACTCCGTCAGATGGACTTTTTGTTGTTTTTTTGTTTTAAATAATATTTTTTTTGTTTCTTGAGAAGCATTTGTGTAAAACTAAGTAAAAATGTCACTAATAGAGTCATTAAAAATAATTTTGTATTTATTTTTGTCAGATAGTGTTGGAAGTTCTGGGTCGGGTCCATTAAAAATGTAATTTTCAAAAAAAAAAAAAAAATGCTGCAGCTAGTAGCCTGCCCCTTAGCATCTTTACATTTCCAAAACATTATTTGTCATATTTGAATACATAAGATTGAGGAATAATTTTTGTAGGGGAAAATTTAAACCCATTTTGTCCTTCTTCTCAAGAATCACTGAAAAATTTTGTACTGGAATAGGTTCTTGCCTTCTCATCTCCACATTTGAAAGTAAAAGTTTTATTGGTTGCATTTGAAGACAAAAATAAATTTTACACATAAATAAAAATAAAAAATAGCTGCACTTTTATCCTAGCATCCAGAAAAAGAAACTAAGTGACCAGAATTCAGAAATGATGTTTCTTCTTGATAAAGTTATTTTTATGAGGGATTTAAAGCAATTAAAGTGTTTTCTGCTTGTTTTGTTTTTTTTTTTTTTTTTGGCTTCTGTTGAGTATTCAATCAGTGTGTGTTTGTCTCTAACCTGTCTGCCGTGCTTATGATGCGGGGGAAAGGTGGGAAAACGAATCTGACAACATTCAACAGTCTGCTGCATGACTCTCGCTCCCAAGCTGAGCAGCAGCTCTCCGTCTGATTGGCTGAGAAGAGCTCAAGCTCCGAGTGGAGGCAAAGGATGCCAGAGTGCTCAGGCAGTGCATGGAGAGGGATGCATGCAGGGGACGTCGGCGACACGGACAGCGCACCGTTACGTGCTTTTGCAGCGCGTTTCTAAGCAGCTTTGCAACTTTCAAGTACACGTCTGATGCGCGTCCAGTCCCGTACGGAGCAGCTAAGGTGTGATGTTTTGGCTGCGTGTTGCACAAGCCCTGCTCCCGCTCCCGTTCAGTTCCACCGCCGCCGACACATCCTCCCTGGAGTGATGGGCTCCAAGTTAACCCGACAAAGAAGTCTGGATTTTGAGAGCAAATTGACCAGAAGGAGACACCAGCGGAATGATCAGCCCAAAGAGGAGGAGAGAAGTGGCGGCAGGAGCGGCGGAGACTTCTTGTTTACATCCCTGATGCTCAAGTCCGACAAGCTGCCGGGGATGCTGCGGAAAACCAACCAGAGCCCGTATGTCAGACGGGTGGCCTGGGTCCGGGAGATCCAGAGGATGCTCCGGGAGCACAAGATGGAGCAAGCAGGTGAAGTGCTCAAACTACTGAGGAAGGTAGGAACTTATTATGATTTTTTTTAGCTTCCTTTAAATGTTATTTATTTCAACAAAAAAAAGAAAAAGAAAAAAAAGAAAAGGAAAGGAAGTTTTGTCAAAACACAAACGTTTTTGATATTTTTTTTTTTCTTTTTTTTTTATATATATATATATATATATATATATATATATAGGGAAAAAGATTGTAACAATTTCCTGTTACAATCTAGGACAGTATACACTCTACAAACCATATTTAAAATATTTGCTACAAGATAAATAACAAATACAAATAATTTCATTCAGAAGACACACAAACTCCAAATGATTAGTTGTATTTAGTTGAATCTGTGTCTTTGTTGATAATTTCTGAAAGGTGAATCAATTTTAATCATTTACTGTTTGTAGCTTCTTTAAACATTGATGTCCTCGTTTACTATAAAATTAAACCTATTTCTTTTTCTTCTGCTAAACTTTTGAACACTTATGTTGTCTGGATACTGACATAAATTCAGTGAATTTTGGAAATAATTGTCAACTTTTAATGCAAAAGATTCCTTACCTGTTCATTGTGTTTAATATTGCATCCTTTAGAGGTGTGAATAAGGATCCAGGAAGAATGACGCATCAAAGTGGAGCAGTTAGAGCTCAACTGTGCTTTTAACATGGATTTATTCAAGATTTTTATGGGACCCTGTTGCATAGCACTGTAGTTGTTTTTAATGGTTCTATAGAAAGAATCCCTTTTCTTCTAACAAATGTTCGCTGACACAAGCACAGAGCTGTTTGGATTTGAAATGTGGGATTTAAAAAAATACATCAAAAAGTGCTTTTAAGAAAAAGATCCTACCAATTCTGTTTTGTGTTTGAGTTGATGACAAGACTCAAACTAATCAGCTGGCATTAGTTAACACGAAGCGGCATTTGACAGATTTTGCAGTCGATTCCTCACCATTTGAGTTGCAGAGGGTAAAGGTCATGTCTGAGTCCCAGTTTGATTCCAGTGGCCCCCCTCCAGCAAAGATTAAACAAATTGTGGCGATCAATTATCATCGTAATTTTAACCGACTGGCTTCGATTTTTATGTCTGACTGGTTTCTGTCCATATTTGCAACCCCTACAATGAGGAACCGCAGCATCATGGTTGTTTTTACTGACGCTTGGGGTCTTTCGCTCCATTGCTGGAGTGCTTGCAAGTTTTCCATGCGTTCCTAAAACAACACACCTGATTATATGGGCTGAACGGTTTCCTGAGCATATAACAGAGTCCTGCGAACTACTTTGTGATTTGATTCAGGTGTGTTGATGCAGGAAAACATAAAAAATGCAGGACTCTGCCCAATTACTGGAGTTTGGGAACCCGTCGTCCTTAAATGTCTTTTCATTTTTACCCGACACTTTAAAAAATTGCATGCTAATGGAAGTATGAGGAAAACTTTGTGAGAAATAGACCCATCTATGACATTTTAAAGGCTTTCAACAGCAAATTATGTTGGATTATGGACATAAGACTTGTTGTGAACCAACTATTTTATTGAAGTAAATTAATTGGACCCTGTGAATGTAAAAAGACAGGTTTTGTTCAAGATGCCTTTGTTATGTCAATGATATGAGGCGTTGAACAGTGAGTTGAACATTACTTTTCATACATTATTGTAATCTCAGGTGATGTATTATATGTATATTGACATAGAAATGGTGTAACAAAATTAAAAACTCATTAGATTGTAATGTCCCATCAATGGGACGCTAACGGGTAATAGCAATATAATTTGCCAGGACAGTACTTGATGTCTGGATTTAAAGTTCTCGTATTTGTCTCAGCAACTTACCTTTCTCTTTCTGAGAAATAGGACTCAAACTTCTGCTGATGTCAAAAAAACTCATTGAAGCAATTTAATTTGCTCTCTGATTGTGTTTTCACACCTGAGGTGTTTAGGCGGTTTAAAACGAACTCCGGTTTCTTTCCTTCCTTCACTCGGACACAGCTACTGTCTGCTGCTCGCCTGACCCAAACTCCTCCTCAGAGCCAGGTTTGCTTTGTGAGAGTAAATGGACTAATAAACAATTTTTCATTAAACATAAAGCCCTTTGCAGCTTTGAAGAGATCTCAAAATCATTCTGTGTGCTTCCTGATAATAGTACCCAGAAGCAAACTAATAAAATGAATAAATTCACCTTGTTTTCTACCAGCTTAGAACATCTGCTACCTGTATTTTAGATTTGTTTATTGGTCGGATGTGCCCTTGGCAGAACAACCAGACTGAACGGTCTCACCTGGCTTCCTGTGATTGGTTCCGGTTTGCTTGGAGCTAATAATAATAATAATAATAATAATAATTAAAAAACACCTCAAAAATCAAACTTATCAGCTGATTTGGAACAAAGCAAATTAACTATAGGTAGGAAAAGACGCTTGAAAGTTATAATTCTGATACACTGGCTGCATTTTTAATCTCAGTTTTAACTTTTATGAATTATTAATAGGTCACTTGGTCTTTTTTGTTGTTTGTTTGAGAAAACTAAATATTGATTGAGATGGATGCTGTCAAAAGAGCTCCACATATACTCTGACTTAAATATGCAGAGAGCACATACAACAGGAAATTTAAAAAATGTCAACCTATAAGTGTTGCACAGATTTTGTACAAAAAATCATGCTGATAGATAGATAGATAGATAGATAGATAGATAGATAGATAGATAGATAGATAGATAGATAGATAGATAGATAGATAGATAGATAGATCTTAAAGCAGCTCTGCAATCTGTTAAATCTCAGATGGGATACCGGCTCTGCCTTCTGTTTCATACGTCTCCATATCACCACATTTAAGATGCTCACGAAGCACGGCTGCTCCCTCCATCGCCAGGCGAGGTGAAGCCAGAGAGCTGCTACATTGTTTGGGCTGAAGCCAAGTGTCTGACTAATAACACTTCAAGATGGGGGGGTGAAAAAGTGCCAGTAGATCTCCTGTTGCAACTCTCCAGCAGTAAGGCAGCTTTTCCACCCAGGAATGGATGAATGTGGAGATAATCACCTTGAGATGACAGATGGAGCCTTTTTCATTCTTTCACACACAGGAAGTCATTGCAAACAGGAACCATTAACAGTGTTAAATCTTCATCAAGCATATGACTTCTGGACCATTAAGTTAATTAGTTTGGGATTATTCTAGACATTAATTAGTAAACAAAACATCGACACGTGTTTATTGGAATAAAGCATCAGAGCAAAGTAAGCTCCGAAAAAGCTACAGTTCAAATGAAGCGAAGCGGTCACATTTTTTTTTGTTTTAATAAGCCTTACATCAAATTGTTTTCAAACCAGTTGATGCAATTCTTTAATATTATCACTTATCAAGTTGCTTCCTGTTGTACAGGAAAGCCAATACAAAATAAAAAAGCATCAATGGATAATATTGCATTAACCTTGAATATTGTGATCCATCCAGATTACTTAATATGTCACAGACAAGCAGAGATTGAATATCGTCAAATATTCCAGCTAAGCAGTCATTTGAGATTGCGACACTGCATTGTCCAGGGTTCCCCCCAGTGTATTATAAGCCTGGTGGGCCTCCAGGCTTAACTTGTGCTCCCACCAGGCTGAGCATTGCTTATTTATTTAAGTCTTTTTAAAATGCTTTCATTTTTAAGACTTTATAGTTGGTGTTCAGGTATTAATTTCCCAATCTTTCAATAACACATAATCATCAAGTGATATTTTCAAAGTTCCTGTCAACTTTAAACATTTTTTAACTCAAAAACACGACGGGCCGCTGAATGAATGACTGCCCTGATGCCCGACCACCGGGCTCAGCAAGTTTTCTGTGGGAAACCTCGATTCCAATTATTGTGCAGATCTATTTTCCAATACATGTGATTTTCACATGTATCGGCATTTTGCTAAATGTTTCCGTCTTGTCAGAGGGAAAAGAGTCGGCGTCTTCTTCCTATCAGCCTGCTGACCTGCAGTCCACAGCAACAGTTGTGGGAAGAACAGCTCTTCATCACTGACACAGCTGGGAAATGCCACTGTTGCATAAACACTTTCTGCTGTATCTTTAGTAAAAGATTTTAAACTGGAGGAGTGGCAACTTGCAACTTTATAAACGTTGGTCATTCTTGAAAGCAAAACTCACCTCATGCCTAATTTTACACATATTGATGCTGGAATGGTGATTGTTATTCCATATATTGTTCAGCTTTACATACAAACTTAATTTTTTTACGTTTTTGTCATATATTTTCAATCATTGCATTATTTACAGGTGATTTAACAGCAAACTAGAGAACGTTTGTTTTATTTTGTGACATAAATAGCCTTGATAAGCTCATTTATCAACGCGACTTCACTTCATTCGAAATATTCACATTGTGCTGTTCTAGATTAAACAAGACAGTTTCTGTTTCCAGAATATTTCTTGCAGGAGCTGTTAATTCAAACTCATTTGCTTAAAGTAAGTAGTGTTGTTTAAAAGTAGTTTTTGTGTTTATACTTTGTCATTGTCTGACGTCATTTTACACTGTGACATAGTCTAAAGTTGAAGCAAATACTTTTCTAAGTTATTTTTTGTCACCTAAACATAATCAGGAAACATCACCAAAGCTGATCGACCGTCATCTGAGGCCCTCCAAACACTCCAACATTATATTTGTAGCCATTATATTGGCAAATTTATGTGTGGCAATCCACTGAAGCATTGACAGACAGGATTTTGTTTTAACAGGATTTGACGCTGGTTTAGATCGTAGTTTGGATGCATGAATAAATGATCAGATATGAATTCCTTCGGTGAGTTTGAACATATAGACTGTGACCTTTAAATGGGGAAAACAGATTTTGTAAGTTTCCCGTTCTGTTTTTGTTTTTTTCAACCAGACAAAAACAGCCCTAAAAGTTGTTTGCAGCCTCGTTTTTGTCCAGATTATGTCTGACTTTTCTCACAACCTCTTGAAAAGTTTAGCTGTTGTGTCTTTTGACGCCGCACATGTTTTGGATTTCATGCATTTAGCCCTGATGTCATTAACAAGCGGATTGCAACAGCAAGTCATCCGGTCATGAACAATTAATCAGGTAGTTGAACCAGAGGACCATAAATCTATAAAAAATGGAGTTAAACAAACCTCTGTCTCCTGACTGCTGCTGCATATTTCTTTCATGGAAGCAGAAACCTGTGGGATGGGATTTATTACATTAGGCTTTATACGTTTCTGGATTCTAATGAACCGCATGTGTGGGACGATGTTCTCCGGTTTAGAGATGCTCTCCTTATTGAAACCTGGAGATGTGCAGCTTTAACGAGGAGAGTACAGAGGCTTCCTGTCGGGGACAAAGAGCAGAACATTTCATGCTTTCACAATGAGAAGTCAGTGAATGCAATCAGATCTCTCTGTGTATTTAAAAGCGTGTGTCTTTTCATCTGCGCGCCAGAATGTGATGCAGCAGCGGCGCAGATCAGATGAGGCACTTACATAATCAAAAGGCGCTGTTTAAAAATCCTCAGTGCCTCAGTTTCTTCACACATGTGGTGTGTGGAGGATATTCCAGCATCAGGGAATCCCGCCGATCTCGGCTGTAATAAATCAACCGAGGAGCTGGAGGAGGAGAAACTGCTGATGGGGGTTTTTGTCTTTGTTTCCCCCAAAGCGTTATGGCAGTCAGCACATATAGAAGATGTTTAGCCTCCAGCCTGCCGTTTCAAAAGCGTTCCAGTTCAAAGAACCGCTGACAACATTTATTCGGCAGCGCCGCAGCCTTCGGTTTCGCCATAAACGAGCGCGTGATGGACTGGTGGAAACGTGGCTCCTCTCTTTATGTTTGGTAAAACCAGTTATGTCCATGATGAAAGGGAGGAAAAGCCCTTTTTAGGTTTGCATGGATTAAGAAAGTAATAATTAAGCTTTACGCCTGAAAAGAAACAATTTCCTCTAAACTTTTATTCCCACAAACCTTTCAGCTAATTGTGTTGTTTCATGTTTTCTCTCTTGCTTGTTCTGTGTAAACAAGCTTCAACCTGTCTTAAAGCATCATGAGTCTTAAACTCATGCTACATACATGCTGTATTTACATTATTGGGGTAAACAGATATAGCCTGAGGAAAACATACATAAACCTCTGGGTTTCTGGTTTTATTAAATCTTTAACTTCTTCAATCCTTGATGGTAGAAAAACACTTGAAAAGCTTTTAATTTTCTTCACCAGAGAGTAAAGCTGTATTATCTGATTAAGGTATAACAATGTCGCATCTGTTCTCACTTAAACGCAGCTCCCAAACGGCTCTCAGCCTTTGAAATTATCTTCATATATACATTGGCACTGTGTGCGATGGAGCTTTGCGGCGCTCCGATAGGGAATCCCCATCTCCTCGCATGATGAAAACAAGCCGAGATGAAAGGAGAAAGTAAAAGAAAAGCTCGGAAATCTCTTTTTCGATCTGTCTTTATCTAAAAAGCGCTCAAACCGGCTGGTGACATTTGTAGCATTCACATGTGGTTTAATCAGATGGAGGTCCGAGCTAAGTGAGAGTTTAATTTCTGTCTTTTTTTTGTCCCCCTCAGGATTTGGGACTGCAGGGATCGTCGCTGAACGACATTTTGTATAAGAACGCAGCTTTTCTCAACCTGGTGGACCCCATTTCTCACGAGCTGCTGCTCAGTCTCGCCCGGGACCTGCAATGCCCAAAACGGGTACGAACTTGTGTCAGATTGTTTGAAGTGTTGCATTGATGATCACTTATTGTAAAATCAGTTTTCTTATGCAGGTTTTAAAATCAGTAGTTTAATTTTATTGTTCATCTACGTCTGGTTAACTAGAGAACTACTGGAGCACAATAATCCACTACAACCCAATCAAAGGAAAACTGCATTTTTTTTTTTTTTTTTTTTTTTTTGCTTTTCCCAAATGCATGAATCAAGTTGTACTCACTTTAAAAAATAAAGTGACAGCTAAGGATGGATAAAGGGGACAGAGAGAGCATTATATCTGGTTGTGACCCTGTTTAGTGCTCTGGTCTTTCTTTGCGCTGTGAAAAATTGGCAGCTGCTGTGCCGAAGTCAAAAGCTTCTTGGCCACCGAGCTACTGGGTCAGAGGAGAATTGGCACCAACAGTGAGGACACTGAGGACTTTGACAAGTGGCTGGTGGAGAGACAAAACAAGAAAACTCCCCTAATTCCTGAATGCTGCCTCTGAAAGCTGGCCATCACATTCTTCAAGATTTTCCTGCAATTGTATTTCTGCAACCATCCTCATCTCAACGTGTCGGAAACTAAAATGGAACTACTGATTCTTTAAGAAATAAATTGTGTTTCGTCCAGACCGGCAGCCGAGCTCATTCACTTGCGGCGCGGCATACAAATCAGACGCGTTAAAATTCAAGATACATTTCGATCTTGGGCATGTGAACAGAGGCACAGCTGCTCAGATTGGCTGCAAAAAAGACAAAAAAAAAAACAAAAATCCAGTGAAGCTATTATCTTTCTTTGTGGTGAGGTGTCATTCCTGTAAGGAAAAGATTGAGACAAGATCACAAAAGTCCAATGATAAAGTCTGTAGGAAACTCCATTTTTATTCCTGTTTGCTTCGGAAGCAGAAGCCCGGGAGTCAGGGAAGGAAAGTGAAAGACTGGCAGCGGTGAGCTCCTGACTGGCCACCGACCCGTAGCGAGATACTGTGTCAAACGTGACGAGGGTGTAGAGAGGCTGGATTCAGGGCCCTGCAGCTGCTTCTGTCACTAACATTTTCTAACAACCCAGGAGTCATATAGATTTAATATCCAAACACATCCTGCGAGTCGAGACAAACCTCATTTTTCCGAGTGTGTTGTCAGACTAATTCAGCGTACGCTTCGGTTGAATTCACCCACCAGATTATTTCACACGATTGGCTGTGTGGATCCATCCAGACGTTGGATCCTTTGAAAAAAAAAAAAACTCCCAGTGACTTCATGCTTGGTCATTCAAGTGGTTGAAAAGGTTGAAGCCTGTTCAGTTTGTCAGCTGCAGGAAGAAGCAGCAGCAGGAGTGGTTAGTTTCCTCAGGGTGAATTAAACAATGTTTTTCCCCTTTTACGACATTGTCTTTCTGTCATCAGTGATTTGTAGCATTAATTAGATTCACCCTGTTCAGCTCAACCTCTTACACTTGAAGTCTGTGATGAAATGTCTGCTGGATGAAATGTTTAAAGGAGTTTTTTTTTTCTTTTTCAATTGAGTTTATTGGAAGGCTTAAAATATCAAACATCTGAATTTGTCATGGTTTTCATAATATATATTTTATGGGGGCAGAGGCTTGTCCATCAGATACAGGCCTGTCACAATAATCAATAAATCAATTAATCACATGATAAATTAAGACAAACTCAATAATTTCCATTGGCATGATTTACTGTTCTACCAAAAATTGGATGATAAAAGTCTTCAGTTTGGTGGTTTGGTCTCAACTAGCCCTGTTTTTGAAGGACAATTTTGTTTACAAAGACTTTAAAATTAATTTAACTTTATTTTTTGTTTTGATTTATTTTAGATATTTAAAATATCTTCCAGTTTTAGTGTTAAATATTCATTAGAATTTAAAGTTTACTGATCTTTCAGAATGAGCTCTTGCATTATTATTTTTGCCATTAGCATTGTGTTACTTAAAAATGGTTTAAAAACAACATTGTTTATCGTTATTGCGATTTTTCTGGCATTTAGCCACAGGATCCTTACTGACAAAACATGAAAAATTCAGACCGATTTAGTTTTTTTGATAAAGTTTGAGAAAACAGTCTGTCTTTTTGCATTGTGTGTGTGGTTTCAAAGGTATTTTGTTTCTGAGGAGTATGATTCAGTTGCATTTCTGTGCTTTTGCAGGAGACTGAGTCACTCAAATCCACCAACAAGATCTGCCGCCAGCTGATTTACCACTTGACCCCTCACTCCAAGTGGACTAAACAGAGCGTGCCCAGAAGGAAGTCCCAGGCATGGTGGGTGTTTGTGCGAGCGAGCGAGTGAGTGAAAGTGACACTCTGCTGTCGTTTATAAGACGATGCACTCGCTGACTGAGTGACCACAGCGAAGTGATTCCCAGTCCGCTGCCATTTTGGAAAAGTCTCTCCGCTTGATCTCGCTTCAAGGTGATCGAGCAGCGATCGCAATTTCCAGCCACTTCTGATGGCTAAAACTTCATCAAACACAAAAGTCCCTCCCTTGAAAATAATCCCTCCAAGGTTCAAAACGGATGGATTAGCTTTGTCTTAATTAAACATCAAGCCAATTTTTTTGTCTTAATTAAACATTAGCCCTGCTTTCTGACTCTTGCCTTCCCTCAAGCACTATTAGTTTTTCAACATTAGAAAACTGATACATTTTTATTTTGCATTGGCAGAAGTACTGTAAAACACTACATAAACTGATGCAACTAAAGTCCTTGCACAATCATTAACTTTAAGTTGCAGTTAAAAAAAATCAGCTTCATCTCTGTCCCACGTTATATTCTACAAGAAACTTTTTTTTTTTGTGAGAATTAGCTGAGAAATAGTCAAAGCTGATGGGGAAGTAAAATATTTTGGGGTGTAGATCCCCAATGACATTTGGATAAAATTATGTATGGATGTATAGATTGTATTCGTAAAATGAAGCCTTGTAATGGCAGCTTTAGAGCTTATACTGAGGCGTATTTCTTCTCACACATTTTCACCCTGCTGATGCTTATGTTAGTCTGTCAGGGTTACATAAGCGTGGTTTTTAATTCAGCGATGGCACCTCTCTGCTGACATAACCGAGCAATCCACTTCAAAGGTTTAAACAGACACGAATCCAGCCACGCCCTTCATTTGTTAATTAAAAATGAAATAAATCAGGCCATCCCTCCAGAGGAAGGACTGTTGATGGGAAAGAGCAAAAATCTCTTTCCTGAATGAGCTTTTCAGTCTGTAATGTGGTCCTTGCCCCCATTTCAGTCAAAACAAACAATTAAGATAAATTATTCATTCTTTGATTTGCAGAACTCAGATGACAAATTAAAGAATTAAATAAATTGAAGAAAACCATGTTCCTTTTTTCTTGGTGTCCCAGTCAAAGTCCAGACCTGAATCCAGGTGGAGAATTTCTGACATGAATTGAACAAGGCTGTCCACAGATTCTTTTTTTGTTTTGTTTTTTTTTTAGATATTTTTACAAGCATGTATAGTCAAAAATATTAGTCTATATAGGTTTGCAAAGCTGGTAGAGACAAAGAAAGCACACATTTCAGAACTTTCATTTCTTTCAACTTTGTAATTTCAATTTTTATCATCTGATCCTTGAAGCAAAATCCCAATAAACTAATGTAGATAATTGCACAAGGCACTTTTTTTTTTAATTGTTGAGGAACAACACCTATCAGATAAAATGAAATATCAAGCAGGAAACTGGAAAACTATTTGTGTGTTTTCAGTTTACCCACTTTTTTTTACTTTCTGTGCTTATTCATAAGTGATAAAATACGTCCGTACCCATCTACAAACTACAGATTATTGTGACTTTGTCAACACTAGTAACCAAGGAAATAATCAAGCATGATAACTAAATAAAATAGAATTAGGAAATATTGTTTTTATGCTTAGAATATTCCAATTAATTGACTTTAAAGGACAAAGTTTAAAATATGACAGAATTAGCTTCAAGCGATGTGACAACATGCAATGTTTTTGGCATTGGCTCTTTTGAGCAAAATGTTGCTTATTCAGAATTGAATCAGGGATTTCAATAAGGGCTTAAAGCCTTGATTTTTCCCAATTGAGATTCACCTGATGTTGTGAACTGCAGGTAAAAATTCACTGCACTGTGTGCAAGAATATCCAGTGTTTGCTAGTTATTGGTGCAATGTAAAATCTCAGGAATGAAGACTGAAAGTGGTCGTTTGTCAAAGGTATGAGGATAAGACAATGGCAATACCTTAAAAAGATAGCAGAGTTAAAAAAAAGAAAAAAAGAAAAAGAGGTAGTGTTATTGTCTTGAGTTTGTAAAAAACGTTAAAATACCTCCCACTGGATGCAACAAATATCCCTGGAAACTCGCTTATCCAAAAAACTAAAATACAAAATGAAGTATTTTCCAGCATTATTTGCAAAATAACAAAAACAAAACAGACTGGCCTACTGGAAGATCACAACATTCAATCTTTTCTACTTTTTTGGCATGTTGGACGCTGATGAGAAAGCGGTAAATGTTTTCAGGTCAAACAGAAACTCTGTGGGAAGTAGGGCGCCACTGGAATGGCCTAAACAATACCATGTTTATATTTTGTGCTAACTAATGCGAGAATTCCAGCTTGAATGAAGCGGCATGTATATCAAGAAAGAAGAGGGGGGGGGGGGAATAACATCTCCAGTGATAATGATGAGGCGTTCTCCCTGAGCAATTAACCCAGATTGAAAGATTTTTATTTTTGACAGCTCGAGTTAACTTCCCGCCCCAGCCTCTCCGTTGCAATGTTTCAAACACTCAACAAAACAACAAGGCAAGGCCTCCCAGTATGCTCATTAGCAAGTGCTGCAAACATCCAAACAGCAGCTTCGCTGTAGGATTCATATCTGCAAATACGAAAGAGACACGCAGAAAACTCAAGTGTGTCTTTGCATGAAATTAAACCCGGTAGCACAGTGAGGGAGGCGGCACGCTTTGCTCTTGAATTCTCCGTTTCACCTTCCTAATCCTTTCTTAGCCTTTCTCCGCTCTCTTTTTATGTTTCTGGCCCTCAATTTCACCTGCTTAAAAGAAATCCCCCCCTCCTTGCGTCGATTTTCCGGCTTATTTTTATGAGAGCCCATTTTGTTCAACAGTTGCCGTACATAGCGGCTCTGCAGGTTGAGCCGAGGCTCTGGGGAAATGCTCTGAGGAAAGGCACTGTCAGATGAAGAGAAGAAAAAGCGAGGAGGGGGGAGGAAATCACTGCAAGGTAGCAGATCAGAAGTCACGTATTTCCCATCGTTCCTCCAACATCACTTTGAATTGATCTTGGGTTTTTTTTTTTTTCATATTTTGAATGGGGAATAAGCTTATGCTTAAATCTTATTTTCTCCTGACGGTGAAATTGAGAAGTCAATCTAATAAGTACAGAGCCTGCTCTCTGTTTCTTGTCTCAAATTGGATTGTTTCTCGTGACATACAAGCAAATGGCCGCAAATGTCCCAGAGATAACTCATAAATCATAACTCGAGGTTTATTACTGAGGCCTGCTTTGCTTCTCCGATGCTGTAAGCGCAGCGCGCATTTGTCGCGCTTAAGGCGATGTTTCTGTTGTCTTCCTCTGCAGCACAAGCCAGGTTTCCCACATCCACAGAGGGAGGTTTCTATTGTTTTTTTTTGGGACCAGTATTGAATTTCAGATTAATGAAGATCAGATTTGTTATTAGATAAAAATTGCATCTACAGCACATTTTCAAGGTACTGGACTCCAGCTGTAGATGTGATTTCATGTTTTCTTTTCATAGCAACTCAAGTAACTAATTTTACCGCCATGATTAGAGATTATGAGACGTTTTGATGAGTTAAAGTAGCTCCTCTCTTTCTACAGGCTTTGTACAGTCTGTATTAGTAGTGACGAAAATCTCAAACTACCCTGCCGTATCTGAGGTCACTCACCGTCAAATCTGTATCTTGATCTTTGCAATCTTTGGAGTAAAAGGAGTTGTGTCTATTTAGACCAGGTGTCATTAACTGTGGGTTAGAACTGATAGTATGCCGTGATAACTGATCTATATCTGTCATTGCTCAGGCTAAAGTACTCTTCCTCCTACAGCTCACAACGTGACGGCTATCCAGCAGCCGTTTTGGTTTTCATGATGTTGATTGTGACTGTAAGCAAGGCAGAAACCAGTAACTAAAACATCTCAGTATTCTCCTGCATCATCTACTGAAATAGCATAACTTTACAATAGCCAAGTATAGATAATTCATCCTATTTCTGGTGGTAATACTGAAGGGTTAATTAACTGCAGAAGTTGCTTTTACCTACCGTTTAACACCAGAAACATCACATATTTAGCTCTTCTTCTTCTTACAATGCTATTCCTTGCACCCTAATAGCATGTCAGCCTCTAATGTGTATAAATGATAAAAATGAAGTGATTTTGTCTTTAATAAACATGGAACATCAGCCTGATCCCAGGTGAATTTATGTTTGTTTTGGGGGGGGGAGATTTTCATGTCTGTCATTTTCAGTTTAGCCCTTATTTATCTTCTGTCACCTTTGTGCCACAAAACTTGATACATATTGTATTACTTCCTTGCTTTGGGTTTTATAACCTTTTTACTGCCCAAGTTTTACAAGCAAGATGGACATTAAATGCAGTATCTGTCAGTGGTCGCCCAGAAAATGAGGGTTGTTGTGGAAATGTTCTTTCATAGTTAGGAAGGCTCACAAGAAGCCAATTTGTTATGGTGCCGAAGCCAAGGAAAACATCAAAACCACCTGCTGAAATGGAGTTAATAAAATATTGTGCAATCAGAAGCCCACACAAACCCCAGTAAATCACACGAAAGACCCGTGTGAAACCTCTCACTGCCATGTCTTTTCAAAGTCGTCCCCTGACATGCAGATACACCACAGTTATATCTGGTTGAGATATCTGATTAAAAATCTGAGGGCATTTTTTTTTTAGTTTTACTGCTACATTTTAAGAGCTGTAGGTCTCTCCAATGCGTCAACGATGTTTCAGTGATCATCAATGAAGAGTCAGCTTCAGTACTTCGGGTTTCTTTTTTTGTCTGCTTTGCTTAATTTACTCAGATTTTGTTTCCTTCTTTTTGTTATTTTGTGCTACTCTTTCTTTGAATCTACTGTAACAAAAGTTTCTAGGATGATGGGGGGGAAAAAACTTGACTTTTATTGAGTTTCAAACCTCTAAGAATCTATTTTATTTATGGGACGGTGGTGCTTTAGTTGGACGTTATATGAAAAGTTTCATCCAAGTTCAGTCAATTTATCAGGAAGATCAATCCTGGTTGACCGGGTCTGACTTTGCTCACCTGGCCCACTTCAACCGGGACTGAACCACAAATCCAAAGCAGACATTTGG